TGAATCGGGGCACTCGCACCGCCACACGACCCCGCCCTTGTTCCCGATACCCGCCCCTGCCCCCGCCCTAGCCCCAACTCCAACCCCGAATCCAGCACCAGCACCAAAACGGTGCGCACCCCTGTCCTCGCGCCCCGGTTCCGGCATCAGTAGCAACAGGTGTGTCTCCCCCTCTGGCACCCCTCCCCCTCTCTCTGGCTCACGCTCGGCGGCGGGAGGCACTGCCACGGGGTAACATGCCAGCGGTGCTAGTGACATCGCTCCTCCCGGCGGTGAGGCTACGACCGGTGCAAGTGGTTCAGCCACAGGCGGTTCTCCAAGCCCTCCTAAGGTGTTTGTAACCGCCGTGTTTCGTGCTGCTGCAAGGGCTGCGGGCCGGAAGCATCGAAGCACTCGTCGTACTCCTCCATTGCAGCGAGCCCTTTAGCAAAACCATTGTATTAAGGAGGCCACGCAAACATGGGAGGGGAAATCAACCAAATTGTCGACGAAGGATTGCAGCAGCAGAAACAGCAGCATTAAACAGGGAAGAGTGCGCTATAGACCTGTAGACGGATTTCCTCGGGGCTGGGAGCTCACGAGATTGCAGCATTTGCAATCCTGATGCTCTCGTGAGCCTAGAGCCCTTTGTTTTTGCGGTTTCTCCACCCGTAGACCTCGCTACACAGTGGGACATGCACCTACCTATAGCCCTGTGTTGCGATGGCCCTCCGACCGTGCCGCGCGCTCTCGGGGCGGCGTACGTTCAGCGCTAGCGAGGGCAGAAAGCCGCGTCTCCAATATCTTCGATGACTCCACCAATTACGGCCCGGTTTATTTGCAGTGCAGGCCATTCATAGATTCGGCAATAAGCTGCTGACGTGGTGCACCTCACCCTCGCAAAATGCGACAACCAAGCAAGCACGTCTCTGTATGACATGACACCAAGCACCCTACTGCTGAAGTGAGTCTCCCTTTCGATCCCGGCGCCAGGCGGGGGAGGGGGTTGCGGCCGGATAGCAATTAAAGATTCTGTGTACAAGGTGTACTGCGGAACATACTATGCATACGGTTCGGAACCAGAAATGAGTAGCCAATAGCGGGAATCCATCGAGGGGTAAATATCCTCCACCGCCAACCCGTCGGGGGTCCTCTTTTGTTTTCTCTGGCCGATCATACAGCAGTATAGCATCAGAACTACTGCTGTGGACGAGTGCTTACTGGCTGTGGGTTTTTGCCCTCCTGATATGCATACCACGGCACATCAATTCACTGCTTCAAAGTACACATACATGCGTGTGGTAGTTGCTGCGTGGGATGGTCGAGAAAGTAGAGATGTTCGTTTTCTCCTCACACGTAGACTACGACATATCTATACAAAATTTTCCGGTGGTGTTGGGGCGACAGATACATATACCACGTCCATTTCGGTGCATGAACTCTATATGCATGCAACTAACGATGTACTATTTAGACATAGTCTAGACGACGTTGTTCTTTTCTTTTTGCGGTGTTGTTTCTTTTGCCACATCATCTGCATGTATGTTTTCCTCTCTCTCTGACTGACCTCTGGCCATCGCTACAGAAAATAAACAACAAACACAAAGAAATACCCGTTCGAGATCTCCGCGTTTTCATGACGATGACTCAAGTTGCGGCATAGTCAATGAGCCCATTCATCAATGCCGCCGTCCGAAGATAGTTTTCCTTCGCGTCTTTTCCTTCTCTTTTCTCACGCTATCGCTGCGTCGGTTGCAGTGTACACACATTATCCGTTACCAGGGTCTGTATTCTTCGTACCTTCATATCAATACGCCGAAAGGCCTGAATACCTTGGTATACCGGCGCCAGAATAGATGGGACGAACACACAGATATGTAGCTTTCGCTGCCACACCCTACCAGATCTTATTAGATATACTCGTAGCATAGCATGGTGGGTGATATCTTACGTATTGATGTAGTGACGAGTGCGGAGGAACAGGAAGTTTCTTCATATTTTCCTTGGGAGTGTGATGCAATGGTGGAGATTTATGGACATTCGTTAGGTACTTTGAGCGTGATGAGCGTGACCCGTGACTCCACGCCGTGACCGATTGACGAGCTGAAGCACGCCCCCGATGACCACTATACGTTTTACAACACGTTTTCCTATACGTCCCTACCCTACCACGGCCCGTCATGGCCCAGCTGCTCTACACTCCCAACACAAAGAACTGAGCCACCCGAATTATTGATCATGCTAGCGTATGACACGTCGTCAACGATATTCGCGTCGAGCTTAGTTTGGAGTTACATCGCTTTGCAGCGATCAGCAGCAGCCACCGATGAGCGACACCGAGCAAGATCGAGTGAGCGCCCGAGTAGCAGAGGAGGACGCCCGGATCAACGACTTGGTCAACCAGAGGGTAGCAGCAAGACTGGCCGAGATTACAAGGGAACAAGACGAGCAGCAGCAGAGGACAGATCACGTCCGGAGCGGGAACGACCACGAGACACGCCACCAGCAACATGCGGGGCGACCATCGGCCGGCCCGTCCACAGACGACATCGCCCGCACGCTCGCCGACGCCCTGACCAGCCGTCTTCAGATGTCACCCAGAGACATGGGTAGAGTACCAAGTAGCGCAGCGACTCTTAGGATGACTGAGGTTAAGCGCCTAGCGCCGTGGGATGGTGTGATTCGGCAAGGCGAGGATGAGCAAGCAAAGTTTTTGATTTTTCGATCGAATATGACTGCGATGTTTGCGCAAGAAGGAGTCCGGGAAGTGGTATTGAGTGACTGCAGAATTCCAGTTGGGCTAGAAGGAGTAGACATGGAGGACTTACGTAGGATGCACTCGCCTGAAACGGTAGAAAAGGCGATCACGGCGTGGAATTTGATCATCACGACAATCACCTACATGCCTGTCTTGACCCAGATTATCGCTGATGGTAGTCCCAGTGGAGGTTGGAAACTATTTCTAGCATACTACGAACCCCAGGCGAGAGCAGAGAAAACACGGTTGACTTCAGAATACCATGCCATCAAAATGCGAGTGGGTGAAACTTCGCAAGAATATTTCGGGAGATTTGCTGTTTTGCGCTGTAGGTTAGCCTCACACGGCGTCACATACGCCGACGATGATGCCAATTTGCACGCTGTGTACAACTTGTGTTCAGAGTGTAAGATGGAGAAAGCCATGCTGCGTGCCCTTCCGCCCCCCAATTTAACCCGTCAGCACCTTGAAAAAGTCGTGAAAGATGCCCATCAGGATATGGTGACCGCACGGGAGGGGGAGCCGCAGAATGGCACGGGGCACGCTTCGTCGCTGCCGGTGGGAACCGGGGCGACGGACGTGTCCAAAATGGGTCCAGTGGGAACGGCGGGGGTCATGACGGCAATGGAGGCGGTCGGAGCAGCAACAACAGGGCGGACGGAGACAAGCGCTGCGACTATCATCCGTACTCGTCGCACACCAACAGCGAGTGCTACACCCAGCGTCGCCAACGGAAGAAGCAGCAGCCCAAGCAGCAGCAGCCTCAGCAACAGCCTCAGCAACAGCCTCAGCAACAGCCTCAGCAACAGCCTCAGCAACAGCCTCAGCAACAGCCCCAACAACAGCAACAGCCCCAACAACAGCAACAGCCCCCACAACAGCAGCGGCCTCAGCAGCAACAGCAACCTCGGGGACCGCCGCCACGGCAGCCGAGCCGCAGTGGGGGGGGCTGGGGGGGTGGGCCCCAGCACGGACCTCACGGCGGCTACTGAGGACAGCAGCATCACGGACATCCAGCTCCCCCCCGCCCACCGCAGCAGCAGTGGCGGCCCGCGCACGGGCATTCAAATGTGAGTCAAACGTATGGTGCCGCGCCCCATGGGGGGCCCGCGTATAGCACCGAGTACGGGGGGTGGGAGCAGCAGCCACAGTATCAGCAACCGTCGCCAGACTACAGCTACCAGCAGCAGCCGTACTACCCGCCTCCGACACCGTACAGTCGACCCCGCTTTAAGGATGCACATGGTTTTTCTTCAAAAAAGCCTCCTTAAAGCGGGTTTTGTCCTTAATTTTCCGGGGACGATAACTCGCCAACCCCGGGGCCGATCGAGGCATGCTATAGCTTAAACGACTCGGCTATTGATAGGGAAGGGCAGTACGAAATTTCAGCACCTTATTGTTCGTCGATCCATCTCAACTAAAATTAGTATATTTATATTGAGATGGTTTGAAAACCGAGCACGTGCAGCAGTACACAGCAGTACACAGCAGTATTGTAGTACACTATATTGTTGCATGCTGGCGCCGCCTGAAGTGTACTGCCAACAAAGATCTAGTGAGAGACACTTCAAATTTTTGTTTCAAACAGAGCAAGCTACCCTGACGGCTTTTCCCTCCACATATCGCGAAGAGTTCCCTGCACCTCTCCCCTCGGCTTCGCTCTACGCTTAACCTGAGTATCATGAGTGAACGAATGCACGGTCTTCGAAAGAAGATGCTGCGTCTCGCTGTACTCGCCCCCCGTTCCATTCGCATACAGGTACGAGCGAAGCTCCTCGAAACGAGAGTGGACCTCGGCCTCTGAGAGGGACGAGGTAATACACGACTCCGGCCTACTGTCGCCGTCCTCCTCGTCACTCGATACGTCATCGTCAATTTGTAAGCCAGCTATGTCCTCTACTTCCTGCAGTTCCAACGCGACCTCATCTTCCTTCACGTTGGGGTCGTCCTCTACAGTAAGCCACGTCTGAAATGCCTGTCGGAGGTCCTGCTCAGAGAGCCCTGCACCCTTCTCGACACACAAGTTTTCCATCAACACTCGCGGCATGGACCTAGAGTTCGCAGATCGCGCAACGCTGGTCGGCATCGACATATTTTTGACCAAGTCGCAAAGGTCGTCGATAACACCCTGCTCGTCCTTGTTATCTCGGTCAAGTCGCGTGTCCATGCTCTTGAGCAGATTGCAGTGCTTCCTGGGAAGGATGTCAGCCTTCAGCCAGCACCTGATGACCGTCTGGGCAGAGAGCCTACTCCACTTCTGAGAGAGGATCTCGGTGACGTCCAGCATTGTTGCCTGCCCTGCATCACTGAGGCCCCGGCAACCCCTGTCAAACGAAAACGTGGGGAGAGGCAAAACCGGGGACAAAACGGGGGACAGAGAATAAGTTTAGTTTCAAGCATGAGCGATGTGTCAAGTTGTAGACGTGCGCCACACCAATTAATATATATTCAGCACCTTCGCCAAAATCTGCCCCAACGGAATTACAGAGCGCCCCTTTCTACACTTGTTTGCTCACCTTCGGATCTTTCGTGCACGGACGGTGTCCCAGTCTTCGATGAGGTCCGCCAGCCTGGTCACCATCTCCGTCTTGTACTGGCACTTGAGTACGAAGAGGATGCCCACGTCCATGGGCTGGTAGACGGAGGTGACGTTCGGAGGCAAGCAGATGATGATGATTTGCGGGTCGCTGTTCTTAATCTTGTGGCCGGGGCAGTTGTCCCAAAGGAGGGCCACCTTCTTCGCCGTGTTGCTCTTGACGAAGGGGACGAAGACCTCGTCGAACCACCTCTGGCAGAGATTCGCATCGAGCCAGGCGCTTGTCTGGGCGTAGCAAGGGCAAGGCGGTTTGCGAACATGGCGAAAAACCATTGGTTCTTTGGACGTGCCGATGATGGCCAACGGCACCATAAGAGACCCGGTCACATTGCCGCAGGCGACCACCGTGCACCGATCCTTCGCCTTCATGGCCTTCGAACCCCGCGCGGTTTTGCTGTTGACACCAGCGGCGGTCTCCTCCCTCGACACGTATGTACCTCGCGGGAAGCAGCGGTAGAAAAGTCCCGTCTCGTCCATGTTGAAGATGAACTCGACATCGAACTCCTTATGCTGCTCCCGAATCTGCTCTATCTCCTCGGCCACCTTCGCCGTGTCCACATCGCCAGCTTCTCCGTGCAGCTTGACGTGAGTGTAGTTGTAGCGTTTGAGGAAGCGGTGTAGCCAGCCGTTGGTCGCCTTAAAGTCGGTCTTGTTCATCTGCGCGGCAATCTTGGTGGCCCGGACCTGGACCATGGAACCGCTCACACCAATCTTGGTTGCCTGCATCAAAATGAACGAAACAAAACGACAAAAAAAAAAACAGCGTTTATTTTGTTTTCTTTCAAATTGCTTCATTATTTCTTCGGTTTCTAGGCTACGTGTTGGGGAGAGAGACGCACGAAACGCTCATCGTCTCTCCGGCCGCGTTAGCTGCGAAGGCCGGCGTCAACCGTTACAAATCCATCTCTCTCCCCATAAATACTAGCCGGGGGACTACGACTGCAACCGCAGGAGTCCCAAAACTGACCAAGTCCTCAAATGGTACACACCATTCTACAACACCCGACTAGATACCGAATACTCCCGAACTTATGCCCCCACCTTCGAAAGAAAAGGGATGGGAGGGCGGGATTTTCTAAACTGCCGCCGCTACTGCGTTAGGCGGCTGCTGCTGTCCTTCCGTTGCTTCACGCGCTGTAGCTCTCACACGTTACCCGACTTTGCTACAGCCCCTGCGTGGACTCGATCACGGAATGACATCCCCACCTATAGACAACAATAATAAATCCAAACACCGTGACCCTGGGTTTCCGATAGAAAATGAAGCCAAATTCTAATTCGACTGTTACAAAATAAACACCAGTTTATTCTATCTGCTCTTCGAACAAACCTTCCTTTTATTTTGTTTTCTTTCGAATTGCTTCATTATTTCTTCGGTTTCTAGGCTACGTGTTGGGGAGAGAGACGCACGAAACGCTCATCGTCTCTCCGGCCGCGTTAGCTGCGAAGGCCGGCGTCAACTGTTACAAATCCATCTCTCTCCCCATAAATACTAGCCGGGGGACTACGACTGCAACCGCAGGAGTCCCAAAACTGACCAAGTCCTCAAATGGTACACACCATTCTACAACACCCACATCGAGGTCAGTTTCTGGACGACTACCGAATAACTCAACTATGCGTTCCCCATACGGTCCCCTCCCCCGGCTGTCTCAATACAATCCTGCTGCCGTCTGTAAGTTCCGTGACACTCGCCGCGAATCCTCTACATTGTTTGGCGCATACGGCTTGTAGGCATTCGACCTCCACTTCCCTTCTCTCTGAATCACTCGTTCTGCGATGTCTCCGCCCGATGCAAGAGCCGTCGCGTCTCCAATTCGCAACGAGTGCAACGCGTACTCCTGGGGGTTACGCCCCGACTTCGCTACCACTTCTCTTACTGCGCGGAGGGCAGCACTATACTTCACTACTCTCACTGCTCTTCCACTACGGTACGGAGCCAACGGAGCGGAGTCAGGCAACGTCGCATGACACGACAATAGCTCCACCACAAGAGCCACCGCGCCGCCGCGTGCTCTCACACCTGACTGCGGTCCGGTGACTTCGTCTCGCGTACGAACCCGTATGTTGCCTTTCTGCTCTTGATCGGCCTTGTGCCCTCTAAACCTCATTTCGACACGGTCTGCTCTACGACAGTGACTAAAGTCTAGTTGCGTCCCGTCGGCAAACAATGATTTGTCCACCCTCGTAAGACGGTGTGCCTCATGCACCCTGCTCGCGTCATTCGCGAACACCTCATCAGACCGTGTGATGAAGAGATAGGACAGGCACAGACACAGCCAGACACAGCCACATCATTCTGCCCCCTTCCCTCCAGTTCTGCCTTGCGCTTTCCCCGTCCAGCGGCATACGCCATAACACAGGCAGGCGCACACGGCGTACCGTCCCCATAGCCACGTGGTTCCTCGCCATCCCCCTTAGCGCACATTTCAACATCGAAGACGACAAGTCTAGCTCGACCGAAGCTTCCAGCCTACAAGTATGAAAATGTTGCACAGCCGTGAGTTTTCCGGATATTGTACTCGCTAGGTTACCCTCAGACTCGAAACACCAGGCTACGAAGTCTATCAACTCCCACACATGAAGGCCCCTGGCACGTTGCCCTAGAAACTTGGGCTTCCCCGTCAGCCTCCGAAACGTGCACCAAGAGTTGAAGCCTGGCGTGCAAGTCCTTCTAGACAACTGAGTGCTCGACGAGCTGGATGCCAAGACGTCGGTAACAGAGTCCTGCCCTGCCTGTCCCAGGTCCTGAACCTGCTGATTGCCCTGGGCCAACCTCGTGTAGACCGGCGTGCTGCCGTTCGATTTGGCCGCATGTGCGCTGCCAACCGAGGTAGGCCCCCCCCGCCACGCGGGAGAGCCCGCACCTCTATTTGTCTTTTCCGTGGGTGAAGAAATCAGCGGCTGTGGGCCTCGCGCCGCCCTCGCCAGCGGCGCGCGCCTCTCCTCCGCACCCCCTGCCCCGTTGCCGTGGCCAACGTTGCGACCACGGTCTTCGACCCGGAAGTTTGAGAGCGTGTCGAGCGATGCCGCCACTTTCTCTGACACCAGAACGCCTTTGCGAGGCAAGGATTGCCACTTCGGCTTCGACAGTTTTGCAACTGCCGGAGGCCGTCCGAGGATGAGCCACGCTTTTAACCGGCGGAGGTCCCCCTGCATCCGCGCCCTATCCTTTGCCGCAGCCTTAGCAGCCTCGGCGCTGGGTACAGCGGGGGCCCGAGATGCCGGTGGTGGGGCGGTTGTGCCCACCAGTTGCACCTCCCCCTAAAGGCCAGGTCCTGCTGCTTGGGCGGCGATCAGGTCGTCGATCGATGCTTGAAGCTACTGGCGATCGCCGCCAGCCCTCGTCCCGCCCCCGTTGCAGCTCCTCCCTCAGGCCGTCCACCAGCCCGCGGAGAGGAGCGAGCTCAGTCTCGTCAGCGGGGGGGGGTCGCCGCGGGTGCCTGTCCCTGTCCCTCGCGACGAGGATACCGCTCGACGCCTCGCGGGAGTACGTGACCCGCTCCGCGTCGAGGGGCGAGCCGTCGAGATCGCCACCGATCGCGCGGTAGACCTCGTGCGTGGTGTCGAGGGTGTCGCCGCCCGACCTCGCCCTGCTTGCCCGGCCGCAGCCCTGCCGCTCCGCGTGGAGGCCCGTGTCGGCATCTGGTCGCGGTTGGAGTCGTATAAGCAGCGAACCGGCGGCAGGCGGCGGGCGAACGTCAGGGCGGCGTTGCGGGAACACTTGTTTTCCTCTTCATCGTGAGCGTGGTCGATCGCGCGCCTGGATCTGCAGTTAGAGTGCTCTACAAGTTCCTATCTTCGGCGGAAATATCTGACGAGGCTCTGCGTCGGGCCCAGAACGACGTTTTGTTATATCGCGAGCTTGCGTTGGTTCGTTCTCGACGCCTGTAGATTGAGTGGAGTGATTGTTGCTGCTTACGCTACGGTCAATGGGGGTCCCGTGTCTCGACAATCCCGAATATTCCTCCGCACGTGTTTTGGAGGTGTTGAGTAGAGGCGGGTATTAAAGGCCACCCGAGTGTTAGTGACCACCTGGCTTAAAAATTCATATCTTGCCAACAATATCGGGGAATGCCTTTTTTTTTTTCTTCTTGTCATGGACCATGCCGATCGTTTAAGCGCAAGTTTGCTCCAGCTGGATAAAAACTGAGCCCTCTATAGCGTTCGGCGCCAAGGTGGCGTACGATATCCCAGCCTTTCTCGATTTATTTATTTTCCAGCCGCTAAGGGCGTGTTAACGAAGTGCCGAAATCAAAATCGAAAAAAAATCGAATCAAAATCGAGATCTGATTGGTCGAATATCTGCTACCTCCTGATGACGCCCTTTGATTTTTAGAAGTTCCTCTGTCTGGGAAGAAGTCCCAGGGGACTTTTTCTATCAAGATCAGCATCAAAGAGGCAAGGAGTTCAAGGAGTTTGCCGCGAGGCCGCTGCAAAGCAAGTGCACGACACGGCCTGCTGCACACTGCTCATAGAGGGGCTATCGGCACCCTACCACCGAGACCATGGCCATTATTTGTAGCCAGAAGGCTCTACTCGCCGGCACGCCATAAACGGGCCGGCTCGTTGGGTGCTCGAGGAGAAATGCCGATCGTGACAAGCGGTGAACGGACTGACGATCAGAACAGGGCTGCGCGGCTTTTCCGGGCTGTTCCGTGCGGGAGAGGGCAGTTACAACCTTTTTTCTCCACACTCACGATACCCCATGGCATCTAACCTTGTACGAGACAGATGGTGGGTAAAGCTACCTCCCGTCGCGTGGCATTGTTAATGCTGTTGCTTCCTCCTTCGTATTTTTTTCTATAAACAGTCAAACGAAAACCAGGGGATTCTTCGTTTTTGTCCCCGGGTAAGCATTTTTTTTTTTAATTCTAAACGCTCGCTAGTACCATCATCATTGTTTGTGCCAAAGGAGAAGTTCTGGGAAGCAGTAGAACGAGCGCAATGACTAGTATTCAAGGTAGCCGTTAATACCCTCCGGGCCGTGTTTTCCCTCAATATTCCATCTTCAACTTGGGCAAAAGGCTACCGCTGTACCTTGTCACTTATAACGATTTTTCTTCTTTTTATTTTTTGTTACGGGATAGATGGTAATGTTAGCTATCGTTCGATATTTAAATATCATCGTAACTCGTTGTATTGCCACAGAGCGAACTGTTGGCACCAGGGGTAGCTTAAGTGGCCTTTAACCCTTACGTGAGTACAGGCCGATTCAGCTCCGTCCTCACCGCCGATCACTTTGCGTGCCGAAAGATCGCCGTTGTGCCTCGGCTAAGAGCAAACAACTACATAGATAGAGACCAGCAGGGAGACACAGGCAGCCCACCCCAAAAGCACGCTTATCAGCAAGGCGCACAGGACTCACATAGCACAGCACTATTCACCCATGCCTCATCTCTATGACGTGAGGCAGATATCCTTGCCAGATCCAATCTACTGCCTACCGATACTGCTGTAGTCTTCAGACTCAAACGCACAATACCATCGGAAGGTACATACAGCCCCTGAACATCTGCTCAACCCGGTGCCGCATCCGCGTGGGAGAGCAGAGAAAGCGCGCACCGGAGCCGATGCTAACGTACGGCCTCGGTGCTTGATGTTGTTGTGGTTGCGGTGCGTGTGGTTCCCAGTATTGGGAGTGAAGGGTGGTTCGTCTGCTGTGTGCAAAATTTCGCTCAAAGACAAGGGTTTTCGGGACTACAGCTCCGATCACAGCTCCGATCACAGCTCTCTATTTGTAGTACAGAGTAGTAAAATTTATCACGATTTTTATGCATTTTTTTGCGATAGCGGGTGATGCTCTCGATTCTCTGGTGAGCGGGCCGTTTTTTTCTCCGTCGATCTGGCGCTTCTGTGAGGCGGTCTTCCGTCCGCGTCTTCGCATCTAGCGCCGCTAGCATATATATGCGCTTGCCCTATGCTCTGTCCAAGGATGAGGTGGAAAAGGTGTGCCAACAGATATTGCTTGCACAGGTACATCCTGTGTGTGGACGGTTGCTGTCGGAGACAGGCATGCACACCTGCTCAGGAACTACTGCTGCTGTACAGTCTAATTCTTTCCGCAAAACTGCTACTGCTGTACAGCAGTAGTACTACTGTACTCCTGTTCGTCACCCTTTTACATATACCGCGTCCCCATCCCTGTGAGCCCCACACATGGACCCACTGCTGCACCGTCCTTGCCGCCGTGATTTATGGGTGTACACGCATGCTTGGAAGATCTTTGACGGCAGAGAGCCAGTTGTGGGAAAATGAACACAAAAAATCAAATTAACCCAGTCACGCAAGGGTTAGTATCCGTCTCTACTATTTATCCAATACGGTAATGCCAGACGCCTACCGCACGCGTGCTTCACTCATTGGCGCGTGCCGTGCTGACGCCCAGGCGACTTCACAATATGGAGAGTGCGCAGATGACATACTTTGGACGTGCTTTTTTTTTTTCTTCAGAGCACTAACGGTGGATTTTTATTTTTTTAAACCTTGGATTCGGGGAACCCCAGTTCGCAGCGACACGGGTGCTTCCGCTCATTGGCGCGTCCCGTGCTGATACGTGTTTGTTGTTTTTATCGATGCGTTGGATACGGTGACCTCCACTCGCCAACAGCGCGGGTGCTTCCACTCATTGGCGCGTCCGTTGCTGAAACTGACAACACATATGCAGCCTGGGTGCTTCCACTCATTGGCGCGTCCCGTGCTGATACGTGTACGGCTTTTTTTTTTTCCGGTGAGATCGATTAACTCTACTCGCCAACAGCACGAGTGCTTCCACTCATTGGCGCGTCCCGTGCTGAGGCTGACATCACATATGCAGCACGGGTGCTTCCACTCATTGGCGCGTCCCGTACTGATACATTATTTGTCGTCTTTTTCCTTCCGATGCGTTGAATTCGGTGAACTCTACTCGCCAACAGCGCGGGTGCTTCCACTCGTTGGCGCGTCCCGTGCTAAGGCTGACAGCACACATGCAACACAATGCGGTTAACTCTACTCGCCAACAGCGCGGGTGCTTCCACTCGTTGGCGCGTCCCGTGCTGAGGCTGACAGCACACATGCAACACGTTGCGGTTAACTCTACCCGCCAACAGCACGGGTGCTTCCACTCATTGGCGCGTCCCGTGCTGATACGTGTACGGCTTTTGTTTTGTTTTTCGGTGAGATCGATTAACTCTACTCGCCAACAGCACGAGTGCTTCCACTCATTGGCGCGTCCCGTGCTGAGGCTGACATCACATATGCAGCACGGGTGCTTCCACTCATTGGCGCGTCCCGTACTGATACATTATTTGTGGTCCTTTTCCTTCCGATGCGTTGAATTTGGTGAACTCTACTCGCCAACAGCGCGGGTGCTTCCACTCGTTGGCGCGTCCCGTGCTGAGGCTTACAGCACACATGCAACACGATGCGGTTAACTCTACTCGTCAACAGCGCAGGTATTTCCACTCGTTGGCGCGTCCCGTGCTGATACATTTTCGACTTTCGTTTTTTTTTTTTTTATTATTATTATTATTTTTTTTTTATTGCGTTGAGATCGGTTAACTTCCACTCGCCAACAACACGGTTTCTGCTTCTGTTCATCCGTTCCCGTGAATGCTGTTGTATGCACTTTCCAATTACGCATGCGGCCGCTTTGTATACCGTGGGACTTGTCAATGCCATCAGTGGAGACGATAGCTTACGTGAGCATATTATCGTCGATGCATTCGGCTACATTTACCCGTCTGTGCGCGGCACAGACCAGGTACGGGCAAGTAGTCCCGAGTGAGCCGCGGGAAACAGAGAACAAGGCACCGGCACCATGTGCATACTCTTGACAGCACACGCCACGTGCCCCACTGCCGCGGGTCGATCGGTTATGTCCGATGCCGCAAGGTTTCCCCACCCCGTGCAGTACGATGGCTGCTATCGTGGCACGTACAGCAAGCAGCGCGTTTTCTCCGTTGAAATATTTTTTCAGTGATAATACATCTCGGTTGGGATGAACCACATCCCATGTGTGGGAGGGTACCTATCTGAACGGCGTGGCGAGAGAGACTGCGGTACGCCGCTTATCTTACTGCACCCTCTCCCCCCCCCCCGTGCTAATGCACGCAGCGGTGAGGTCACAAGAGTAGCGGGACGCGGGAAGGAACACGGCAGACACGACGGATGTTGAACACGGACCCGATTACACACCTTATATGGAGGGTCCCGAGCGCGCGCTGGTCGCTTCCCCAATGCTTGCGCCGCGTCCCGTCCCGTCCATTTTCTAAACTGCCGCCGCTACTGCGTTAGGCGGCTGTTGCTGTCCTTCCGTTGCTTCACGCGCTGTAGCTCTCACACGTTACCCGACTTTGCTACAGCCCCTGCGTCCCGTCCCGTCCATTTTCTAAACTGCCGCCGCTACTGCGTTAGGCGGCTGCTGCTGTCCTTCCGTTGCTTCACGCGCTGTAGCTCTCACACGTTACCCGACTTTGCTACAGCCCCTGCGTGGACTCGATCACGGAATTTTCTAAACTGCCGCCGCTACTGCGTTAGGCGGCTGCTGCTGTCCTTCCGTTGCTTCACGCGCTGTAGCTCTCACACGTTACCCGACTTTGCTACAGCCCCTGCGTGGACTCGATCACGGAATGACATCCCCACCTATAGACAACAATAATAAATCCAAACACCGTGACCCTGGGTTTCCGATAGAAAATGAAGCCAAATTCTAATTCGACTGTTACAAAATAAACACCAGTTTATTCTATCTGCTCTTCGAACAAACCTTCCTGTTTCAATTCGGCCAATGTTCCATGGTGGTGTTGTAGCGGATTTTCTGGCTAAATTTAGTTGCACCTTATCGACCATACTCAACCTAGCAATTTGCCATGGGTGGGCAGGGATAGCGTTGGGGGAGAGGCGAAAGGGTGTCGACAAACAACAGGTTAAATATCCTGACCGCACATGACTCATTCAAACAGCTGCATCCAACAACACTTACTTTGAAACGTTCTCGTGCGACTTGGAACCAGTGGCGTACTTTCCCTTCCGGTGTGTCGTGTACCGGCAAAGGGGCGCACCCGTGGCCATTCGGCTAAGCCACAAGGTTGGGGGGGGGGGGGACTTTATCGGTACGCCCCCCATTAGGCGTTGACTAGGGTTAGGTAACCTGGGCAAGGTCAAGTACCTGGGCAGGGTTCGGCACGAGCGACCTTTTGGGTACGCCCCCCATTATCACATGACTAGGGTTAGGTAACCTGGGCAAGGATCAAGTACCTGGGCAGGGTTCGGCACGAGCGACCTTTTGGGTACGCCCCCCATTATCACATGAGTGGGGTTGGGTAACCTGGCCAAGGTATAGTACCTGGGCAGGGTTCGGCACGAAAGGCACGTTGCCCTCGTTCCAGACCCTGCCAACGTACGTCAATGGTAACCTGGACACAGTCCGAAACTGGGTAGGATTCGGTATACAAGGAACCTTGGCCTAGGTCCAGACCATGGCTACGTAGGCACAGCGACCTTGGGCTTGGTTATGGGCATGCCATCGTCGCGTCTGTACCACTATAATAGGTAGGCCCAGACCCTGCCAACGTACGCACAGCGACGTTGGCCCAAGGGTGGGGTAAGCAACTTTTTTCTGGGCCGACGCCCTCACTAGGGATACGAGCATGACGTTGCTCAAAACGTTTATTTTCAAGTTGTATCGCAGATCGTGCGGCCGACAAACGACAAGTCACACATGTCGGCCTCTGAAATCGTCAATCGTACAAAAACGCAGAGGCGAAAACGCAACGTACTCCTCACCCGCCTCCCTCACGGAGCTACAACATGAGAACAACGCGCATACGTTTGTCTCCCTCCCCTCGCGTAGAGCGAAGTCGAGCATAGAAGAATACCCAAGGAGGCGTAGAGAGAGAACGGGCCTACATAATCCTTCAAAGACATGAACGTACGGATATGACCTCAGCAAATTGGGCTCAAGACTCACCCCGCGAATGTCACAGGCTCCCACACAAAGAGTCCATGATGGGCACCATCACGCTGCGCCACATCAGAAAGAAAACAGGAACAACAAAAAGTCTCGCTAAATATGACTACAACAATACCACCAGGCGGAATACAGGCGACAACCGCGCCTGACTTTTACCACGGGGTGTACGAATATAAAAAACCCAACCATGATGCAACAAACTTGGATATATTCTGCGAACGTGTACAGAACATCAAACATCATATCTCTGTAAACACTGGTGTGAGTATCTCACCGAAGATAAAAAAAAATGGCGGATCTATCAAAGATAAAAGTCCTATTTACTAAATACTATAATCCGGCGGCACGCGCAGTCTCCCTGCTCCTGCAGTACCTTACCACCTTCTTAAACACGCGAGGCCACACCATCACACCGCTGCCCTATCACCCATGATGCGTTAAAACAGGAAGGAAACACATAATTCATGAATACCCGCGCCTGATGATGCCGGGAGCGAAGCGAGATCAAGGCGTGACCGCCTTGACAGCCATTGCCACCGCGCCGTCGTCCAGATATTCGTCGTCATCGCTCGCGCCATCTCCGAACCGGCCGCCCGTGCAAGGGGCTGCCACAAAAGCGGGCATATATGAAGTTTGAGGAAATCAAATGGTGAGAACCGAATAGTGAAACAGACAAAATTGGAATGTGAGCGGATGTGCAGCTGATCAAAGTAACGTCAACGACGGCATTGGAAACCACTGGGTGAGGGTCCAGGTGGGGTGCCTGCAGGGTATTCATGGGTAGCATGGGTATAGACATGAAAGCGATTGCGACGACAAAACCCAAAGTAGATTATGTGACCGCTGCATATGTACACCATGAAAAAAAGTGCGAGTGTTTGCTAGACTGTAATTTTAAAATCCCAATTAGTGCTCTGGGGTGGCGAGCACGGCGAGAAACCTCCTCATCAGATATGCATAGCAATCCCACACAGGCGAAGCCCAGACATGCCCAACAGATGAGTGGCACCCAGGCTTGCATGCACCGCACGACATTTGGATTTCGAAAACGTACCTCGATTGGACAGGTAGGGGCACGCGTACTGGGCGAGATGCCAATCTTGCCAAACGCCTCCGCGTCAAAGTCGAGAGGCAGGGCTGCAGCGTCTGGTTCTCTCAAGTCACTCGTACGAAGAAGTTCTGGAACAACCTCTTGAGTTTTGAGAGGGGCTGCGGCGGGCAAGTGTAAAGGAGGTGCCACGACGAAAAGGCCGGCGGAAAAATTGGTTAGGGATAAGATGTGTGTAATAATATTGTTAGGAAGACTAGTTTATGGGGTGTCGTAGAATCCCGCCAGAGCTGCGCAATCGTCTCCTAAAAACACAAGCTGCTCCGGAGATAGTGTGGACGTATCATTTCGGATAAGGAGAACAAGGCGTGCGCGTGAGAGGGCTTGCTTAGATTGGAGAAGCACAGAAAAAAAAAGGGCCACGCCCGACAACATGTTTCAAAGCGCGCTGAAGCATACAGCCGTAGCGTTCATTTTGAAGACACACCTCGTTTTCGTTTTTTTCGTATGTCTTGACAGCCAGGAGTTTCTTCAACGTTTCAGGGGAGAGTATTCCGCCAACCCCGTGGTCAATGGAGGCGTGATATACATCAAGATGCGCCTTACGCGAGCGCAATCACTGTGCATGCATATCGGCGGGAAACGTCGTGGGCGTGCCGAAAATTGTTCTATATTTCTTAGACGTAAGTTTATCGTGAAACTTTTGAGCTAGAACGCTGGCCTGATTCACGATGGCACACTATCAACCCATGCACCCCGGATACAGTCAAGACTGCCACCGAAGCGAACATAGTAAATTTGCCTTCCACGAAGTCGCGAATCGTGGCATGCATCTCCCCTCGCCCATCCCTCTATTGTGCGCATAGCTAGCTCTCGAAAAGGAGCTCAAGGTGGCACGGAACGAGCCGATAGCTAAGTAAACTCAAGGTCAGGTCGAGGTCCAACCTCGAGTTTTGGTGTACTAAATGACGTCAAAGTATTAATATTACTGAAATGGGGGTTCGGCACCGAGTTTCCCGGTATTCGCCATCCAGTTAAATCTAGGACCGCCTGAATTGCTCAAGAGCGGATCTCAGCCTCTGTGCAGGCCTACCTCGTGGCAGGCTTACCGCGGTCACGCCAGCCGCACTCAAATGTCCAAGGTTACTCACCTCCTCAGATAAACAAGGGTCTCATGCCCCCCCCCAGATCCTCCAAGTGCCAGACGGGTCCAGGGCATCCCAGCCTCCCGACTCGTGGGCCTCAAGGTGCAGCTCGAGCGTACAGCCGACAAACTCCATCATGTCCTGTGTGCGGGAACAAACGAGACGAGAGGATCGACAGGAGCAGGTTGCTAAATAGGGGGCAACGTCACATTATCACTTGCCTAGATACGCATGAGCTTCCCCTCTCCGCAGGCTGACGACCTCTCGTCCGCCCCCACCAAACTGCACAACCCAGGTGTGGTTGCTGCTAACTAGCTGTTGGTGCTCGTGCTGCTCTGTCCCGTGTACGATACCCAACGCGCGACAGGACCCACCCATGCTCCCTCCGCTTGGGCACTACACCAGTACATACTCACGTCGCACTACGTGAGAGTCTCGGTATCTTATGCCATCAGCCCGCGGCCACGACCCTCATCAGTCCGCACGTAGGCTTTTAGAACACGAAGTCGACCACGGCAGCCCGACGGCCTTGTGCCACTGGGCACGCCAAGATTGCAGTGGTGCGCGAAATAATTCTGTGTTTTGAGCGGCGAGAAAACGAATGAACGACGATTCGAACGTACACATAGACAGAGGACGAGATATGTAGTCTCAACGAAGGAACCATTGAAAGCCTAGGTAGATACATCGGTATCTTGCGAACAGACGGATCGATGTATGTGGCGGGAACGTGCGTTTCATGGGTGCAGTATCACTGCAGCGATAAAGAAAAATTAACCACTCTTCAAGGCAGACCAAGAGTAATCAGCCTGTCCGCACGCGTTCGGGAAGCGACTGGTGCACACGGCCAACGAGACAGGTCGTTCGCCCGATTCCAACGCAAAACACCACGCATTTTCTACAACTTGGTGTGCGACGCCCAATCAACTCTGCTGTATGT